TCTCTCTCTCTCTCTCTCTCTCTCACACACACACACACACACACACACACACACAAATGGGTTCAGAGAAAGCCAGATGGAAATCCTTTCTATCTCACAAGTAGTTCTTGGTGTTAACTCCCTGATATTTGGCAGACGACAGTAACATCTCATGGACACAAAAACAGTTTTATCTTCCCCAGCTCTGATTAGGTGCTCTTAGCAAGGTCCAGCTCTGTCTGGCTTGGTGCACTTATCAAGGCTTCCTTTTTCCCCCCTGTACTGGGATCGAACCCTGGAAACAACCTATCTGACTTCAAACTTTCAATCCTGCCTCAGCCTCCTGAGCAGCTGGTATTACAAGAGTCCACCTCCACACCTGGTTTGTTCATTGTTTATTCAAAGCAGTCGGGAAAAACTGGCAAAAAATTTCCTTCTCTATTGGGTCTCACAGTGAGGATTATAAATTGAGGTAAGACTAATGACTAATGCACTTAGAATAGTGTGTCAAAGCTGGGCATGGCAGTGCACACACCTGTAATCCCAGGATTCTGGGAGGCCAAGGCAGAAAGCTTTCAAACTTGAGACCAGCCTGGGCTACACAGTGAGTTCCAGGTCAGTCTCACTACATAGTGAGACCCTGTCTCAACCCCCGCAAAATAAATTAAATAAAATAAAGCTCCTCACTCTGAGCCCCTGACAAACATAGATAAATGATTGTGCACTCTGTGATGATACCATTAGGTGAGTAATTTGATTCATGCAGTCAGCTGCCAGAGAGGTTGCACCCAAAAACTATAGCCCGGCACCCAAAGTCAGTCAGTGGTGGTTGCTCATGGTGTCAGCCGTGCTCCTTCCACAACACCAGGTGAACACTGTGGTCAGGCATGGTGGAGGCAAAGACCAAGCCCATGTCTTTGTCCTTCCAGTCCATTCAACCCAACAGGGAGCTTCACCTGCCAGGAAGCTCGAGAGTGCCCCTTTGATTTCCTGTACTCTGGCAGAAGCCAGCGGCTAATCAGGCTCTCTGTCTCCAAGTCCATGATGTACAGGTAATGGCTGTCAAACAGCAGGGCAAAGACATCTCCAAACCAAGCAAAGCCAAGTTTGCTATCTCAGGTTTGTTCTTCGTTTTGTTTTGGTACTGGGGATTGAACTCGGGACCTTGTGCTTTCAAGGCAAGCAGAGGAACCACTGAGCTAAATCCTTGGCCCTAGAGTCTCTAGGTTATTGAAGAGATGCCTGAGCTGGACTGCCCCATTCAGACTAATCAGGTGATCCAGAGTTTCATTTTTCTGCAAGTCCATCAGAGAAAGAAATGTAACAGAAATGTTATCATGCCATGTTTCAAAGTCCTTTCTCTCCATAAGGTTAAGGAAAAATTTACCCGAGGGAGCATCCCAGGGGCCTGGGGCCTTGCAACAGACTCACACAGACTAGGGGGGCTTGGGCCTCCAGAGCCTCGCAGGGCGCCACCTGGACCTGCGGCTGCTGCTCCGGGTCTGCAGCTTCACGGAGAACTGGCTTCTGGTGCTGAAAATGATTTCATAGTTTGTCTTAGCTCACACAGCCAAAAGGGAGAGGTTGCTGGGACTGGAACCCAGATAGCCCAGTTCTAATTGAGAAGCTAGTCAGGAGAGGACTCTTGGATGGTATATATAAAATATAATCCACACTGAGACAAAAGGAAGAGTAAATTTAGCCAAGAGGCTGGGCATGATGGTGCACTGTAATCCCAGCACTTGGGAGGCTGAGGCAGGAGGATGGCTGCAAGTTTGAGGCTAGCCTGGGCTACATAGTGTGTTCAAGGCCAGTTTGGGCTACACAGCAAGACACTGTCTCAAAAAAAATTTTTTTAGCAAAGAGATTTGGGGGTGGGAGTTAGATGCTGGAGATCAAACCTAGGACTTTACATGTCAAATATGTGCTCTATCACTGAGCCAGGCAGATGATCTAGCAAGAAGAAACTCTGCAAAGATTCAGATATGATGAGAGAACCAGGAAATTAGAAATATCCGGGTATGTAGCCTGTATGACCATCATTCACTGAATGAAAAACTGCAAGTTGGGGCACATTTTAGGGGAGAAAAAAACATCCCAGGTCATCAACCAGATGGAGGCACTCTGGCCTGGAGTTTGGGCTGGTCCTGATTACCTAATGTCTCATCTGGTCTACATATCCCTTGAGATATGTAGCTGAGCCTTAGGTATCTTTGCATCTCATTTTTCTCTGCACCTACCACTAGGTGCATGTTTGATGGGAAGTGAAGGATGGGCTACCTGCCCTAAAGGAGCAGAAGCAGGTGATACCATCTCCACTCTCAAGATGTCTGCAATTTTGCTGAGGAAATTACATCAGAGAAACACTCTGGAGGATAGGACACACCAGAATATGCACTGAAGGCCATCAGTGCTCTGGGAGACCTGAAAGGAGAAGAATCTTGAAAAGAAGCCCAAGAAGGCCTCTCTTGATTGACTTGTATTTAATCCTCACAACCATGGGAGGGTAGGGAATATGATCCTGATATTATAGATAAGGAAGCTCAATGAAATGCTGAGATACCCATGACTTCATCCAAAGCAAGGGAGGGCACCATCTGTCTTGAGTTTTTGGCTTTGTTGTTGTTGTTCCATTCCATTGCTTTCTAAATACCTGCTCTCGGTGGGAATGGATCATCCAGTCAAAGCCCCCTGGATTAGACTTCCTAACCTCTCTCTACCCAGGTTTTTCCTCTCTTCTCTTATTCCACTTGAGCTCCTCACCTCAACTCTGTTATTAAGCTTATTCCAAGTCAACACTAAGATATTTTATTGAGCTCCAATTCCAGAGAGGAAACCAGTGCCCATTTGATCTGAGAAACCCAATAATCAAGCTCCTCCATTTACTCAGTGAATATTGTACGTGCCAGGTGCCAGGAAATGAGCAAGACCTGACACTTCAAGCATTTTCCCCCCCTGGGGATTGAACTTAGGACATGCACTTGCAAGGCAGGTGGCAGCAACACTGAACTAAATCCCAGGCCCTCAAGTATTTTCTCCCTTTCTTTCTTTCTTTTTCAAGCATTTTCAATTTGTCTGGTGATCTGTATGGACTCAAGGTGGAGAAGAAATAAGCCTGTAGAAACTGAGGTCTTGGAAGAGGTATCTAGCACCAGAAGTTAAGCACCTTCAAAGCAGTATTTATTTATTTATTTACTGCAACAAAGTTTTGTTATGAAGTTCAGGGCCTTGAACTCCAAATGGTGGTGATCCTGCTGCCTCACCTCCTTAGTGCTGGTATTACAGGTGTGTGCCACCACACCCAGCCCAATGCATTTTACCGATTGGCACTTTTCTACTCTGTCCTCTGACCACACCCAAGGTCACTCCTGAAAACTAGGGCTGGGTCCATATCTGAATTTCTCCCTTTGCAATTTGTCACCTCCAGCTCAGGCATCTGTGTGTGAAACTCTCCCATCCTCATCCCTGCAACTTCATTCTCCGAATTGAGGACCCTGCAGATCTAAGGACACAGTTAGGAATCCAGCAGTACAGATTCTCCTCCAAGTATAGTGGTCTCCAGCCCTGTGGCCTTCAGCTCCTCCCCACCAGGGTCTCCAGCTCCCACTTTTTCCAGCCTAGTGCTTCCCTCTGCTCCCCAGTTTCAAGCTCACAGTCCTCCCAATTACATCTTCCCCCTTTCAGTGCTTCCCACCACCTCCTCAGTTTCTCAGGTCACCTGGCCTCTTCCTTTCCAAATTTCCCTCATCCCTCTGATAAGCCATCCTGATGCTTCTCTCCAGGGCTTCTTTAAACACCTTTCAGTTACCTCTGACAGCTGGGGCTCCTCTGGGCCCAAGTCTTCCACCCATCTATCTGTGATCCCGCCAAGGGTGAGTGTGGCTGCTACTCCTTCCCTCAGGAGTCCCCCCTTTGCCCCATCTGATCCTCCGCACCTGCTTCCTGAAGGGCCTCTCTGGTGCCTCCTGATCTCTGCCCCGTCCCTGTCTTTCTCTCCCAGGGTACTGGCCTCCGTCCCATCTGCCCCTTCCCCCGTTCTATCCTCACCCGCCCATCTCCCCTGGTCTGCTCCATAGACCTCAGTCTCCCATCTAGTCCTCTGCTCTCTGGTCTCTCGGAATCGCTCTTTCTCTCCTCTCCCTTTCTCCCTCTCTTCCTCTCACTCTTCCTTTTCATTCTAACTCTCTCAGTAGTTCTCCCAGGCTTTTCCCTTTTCTGGCAGTCTTTTAGCTGACTCTCCCCTGTCTTTCCCCTTTGATTCTTCTCTCCGCTCCTTTGTCTCTCCTCTCTCTCTCCGCGCCCCATCTCGGTCTCTGTGGATCAGTCTCTTTCCCCCTTCTCTCTCTGGCTTTCCTCGACCCGACTCTGGACTTTCCCTCGGTACCTGCCCCTCCCCCTCATCTCTCGATCTCTTCATCTCTCTCTGGGCCCGGGTTCCCTCGCTCCCTCCCTCTCTCTTCCTCGGCTCTCTCCGGCTCCCTCTCTCGCCTCGGATGACAGCGCTACCTCTTTTGTTGGCTCCGCAGCCAATCAAGGCCGC